AAACCGATTTTCTGGACGGGGGGTTCCCCGTTTCACTGCGGTCGCACACCTTCATCTCCGAGAATGCCAATAATTATGCATCTCTGTTAAATGAGCGGAAATGTATGGGCCTAGGAAGGTGTTTTATATCGCATAAGCTCGACGAGCCGAAATCCTTCACATCAGTAATTTTGGGTCTCGGAGCCCACAGGGCGGTTTTTCATGTTTTCCATTCGACGTTCCATGAAGCCCGATGTCATTCCGAGGCCGCGCGTCGAACGTTTTCGATGGCGCGTCGCGTTATGCGATGTCACGTGCGTTGGGGTCGTCAAAGGCTTGCGTGTTTGTTGCGGATCGGTTGATGTGGGCTGGGGTTTCTCAGGATTGTATACTTGCTTTGCGCTGGGGCGGTTTCGACCCCCATCCCTGGCTGATCCACCCCGCGGGTAACGTCGCAGGAAGAGTTCGATCATTTCGTTCGTAATGCCAGCGATGCTGTCGCGGACATTGACCGCGCCACGGGGGGGGTCGCCTAGAAATTTCCTACCATATTGCAGTGTTGGTCCTTCGTTTTGAAGAGACACCGCCCCGCGTCATTCCTTCCGGCCCCCTCCCTCGTCCTCCCTCTTCGCGTATCTGACCCCTGCTCTCCGCGTGTCTCCGTCGTCATCGTTCATCGTCATCGTCGCCATCACCATCATCATCAGCATCATCCGCATTCTCGCCGTCTCCATCATCAATACCACCACCATCCTCATCAACATCATCAAAACACCCCCTTGTTCCCCCGCGCCTCTGCTTCGCCACATTCCCTGCAAGTCTCGTGGCCTTGTGAGGTGCTCCACCGAAGGCCCCATCGGCAGGGCCCTTAGTGCGCCGCCCAGCCCATGTCGGCACGCCCCTCAGACGCTTCGTGTCCCCATGAGGAGCTCATCGGAGGTCCCGGCGGCAAGGTCCACATGCCGTCGCCCAGGCCACATTGATGACACCCTCAAACATTTCGTGCCCCTATAGGCAGCTCCACCAAAAAAAGGTCCCAGCGGCAGGTTTCCCAGGCCGCCGCCCAGCATATTTCGGCATGCGTTTCACACGCTTCGTGGCCCCACGGGGAGCTACACCGACGGCCCCACAGGCAGGGCCCACAGGCCGCCGCCCAGCCCATTCCGTCATACGCTCACAAGCTTCGTGGCCCCATTCGGGAGCACCCCGGATGGCCCAAGCGACAGGGTCCACATGCCGTCGCCCAGCCCATGTCGCCCACGAGTGGCGCCCAGCACGGCTCCAAGAGCGCCCCAAGAGGCGCCGAGTAAGTTGCACCCTCATGCAAATAGTTTTTGTCACTTGTGGGGGTCCTCTTGGGGCCCTCTTGGAGCATTCTTGGGGCCCTCTGGGAGCGTTCTTGGGGCCTTCCCGGGGCCCCAGTGGGCCCTCGGAGGGCCCCAAGAACGTTCCCCGAGGGCCCCAAGAGGGACCCCCCAAAGTGGTACAAAGAATTCGCGCGAACGTGCAATCTGTTGTAGGCCTTTCGGGGCCCTCTGGGAGCTCTCTTGGGGCCCCCATTGGTGGCGCCTTGGGGCCTTGGGATGGCTCCAAGAGGCTTCGGGATTGCCCCAGACCGCCACAAGACAGCTCCGAGACGGCCGTCGAGCACCACGGGTGAAAGCAAGTGAGGCTAGGGAACAGGGCCTCTGGTAAGCCGCCACTGCGCCCCCTGGACTACCCAGACAGCGAGGGGACCTGAAACGCCCTGGGGCTCCAGGGGCCCCAGATTAGTGAAGTGAAGGTTTTTGCCATGCAAGCACCCCGAAATTCTTCACTTCACTAAACCGGACCCAGGACGAACTCGCTACGCTCCAGTCCCGCGGGAGATCCAAGACTCCCGCCGCCGCCCGGGGACGTTGCTGCATTGCGGTGCTCTGGTCACTGTTAATGGCTTCCGCGGGCTGCAGCGGCTCACTTCCATGACTACCCCGACTCACGAATCCAGTGGTTGGTCTGGCTCTATGGGTTGGTTTCGTTGTGTCGGTTGATTTTATGCTTGGTTGGCGGTCGGTGGATTTCGCGTTGTTCATTGGTGTCGTGAAGTGATTTGTCGTTTGGTTGGTCAGTGCCGTTTTGTTGATTCGTGCCGTTTTGTTGGTTGGTGTCGTTTCGTTGGTTGGTGTCGTTTTGTTGCTTGGTGTCGTTTTGTTGCTTGGTGTCCTTTTGTTGGCCGGTGTCGATTTGTTGGTTTGTTGGTTGGTGTCGGTTTGTTGGTTGGTGTCGTTTTGTTGCTTGGCGTCGTCCTGGCGGCGTGGCCGATAATCGGCGGCCTGCAATGGCGCCAGGATTTGTTTCGGGCCAGCCTTGATCGCCCTCATCATTCTCATATTCGTCAGCGTCAGCACTCGTCGCCCCCATCCGCGCACACATGCGGCCCTGGTACGGCTCTCACGCGGCCCTGCGAAGGCCTTCACTGTGCTCCCCAAAGCTTTCTGAGGGGCCCCCCAGAGGCCCCAAGAGGGCACTGGAAATTGTCGCTTCCAACTCCGCCAGGCGGAGGTCAACAAGGGTCTCAGTGGTGCACTTCCAGGAATCGTCGTTCGATCCTCTTGGGGCCCTCCTGGGGCCTTCTGGAGCCGTCTTGGAAGCTCCGAGCGGCTCCATGAAGGCGCCGGGCGATATCACTTCCAATTCCGCCAGGTGGAGTTAGACCAGGGGCTCACTGAGGCCCCTTTTTGCGCCCTCCTCTGCCTTTGAAAAAGCCCCGATGGGGTTCTTCAGTGCCGTCTTCGGGCCCCTAAGAGGCCTCCAGTAGGGCATTGAAGTTATCGCTTCCAACTCCGCCACGCGGAGTTGAACCCAGGGCGGCTCTCTATGGCCCTTTCGGGGCCTTCTTAGAGCTTTTCTGAGGCCCTAAGTGGGCCCTGGGAGGTGTCATTTTCACGGGCGTTGAAAGTGACACCGCGGAGGGCCCTCTTGGGCCCTTCTTGGGGCCTCTCTTGGGTCCCTCTGGGAGCCCTCTTGGTGCCGCCCTGGGGCCTTCTCGGGGCCTTCTTGGAGCCTTTCTGGTGCTCTTTAAGTGGGCCCTGGGAGGTGTCACTTTCACGGGCGCTGAAAGTGACACATCGAAGGGCCCGCTTTCCCTCGTAGCGCTGCCCGTGGCCGGGGCATTGTGCAGCGCATCCCTCGTCGAACGTATTTTGTCGGACGCGTGGTCGAATTCCGCCAGTTCGGTCGAGATGGTGGTCAAGCGGTTCGGTTGCAATGTAGCCATGCGGATCTGAGCTTACCATTTCTTGCCATTTTGGCGGGGATCGCAGGAGCGTTTGTGTAGTGATCAACTGTGCTCGATATATCCAGCGGCAGCGTTTCATCCCAATATATTATTATGAAAAAACTCAGCAGGGGCCAAATTGCTGATGTGAAGCAACATAGGTCTCGTATAAGCATCGGTATATCACAGCAGCGATCAATGGCGCCCGTTATCGCTCTGACATTTCAGCTTATCTTTGTTGGACGTTGAGCTGAACTTGCCTCGCCACCGCGGCATTCGACTAATAGCATCAATCATAATAACGCTCAGGAGGAGTCGGGGTCCTCAGGTTGGCATGGTTTAGTCTGGATGCAAACTTATTTTGGCATATTTGAGCAGGGAAGAGCAACGAGGAGGAAGAGGCGGAGAAGGAGGAATAGGTGGATGGATCAGTGAGGGATTCGAGGATAATGGTGGAGAATGGGGGTGATGATGTCGAGGAGAAAAGTGGGGTAGGAGGATCAGATCAGGATACACATTCGAGGGAAGAAGAACAGGCGAGGAATAACTTTAGAAAGCGCACTTGGTGAGATCTGCCTCCTGTGCCTCGTCCAGAAGCCGTCTGTGAGACTCCTGAGTCTTCTGCCTCCTGACCTCTCGAATGCCCTCGCCTTGTGGCCTATTGGTCACCTCCCCTATCATGGTCTCTTTGTCTCGTGTCCTCTTCATAAAGCTTCAGGCTATCTAGACGTCGTGCCGAGATCACGCTTTGGTTATGGAGCAGTGCCAAGGCCTCTTGGCAATCTTTTGAAGCTGCCTGGTTCTCCTTCAGAGTCCAGGATGTAGTATATTCCTCATTGCTGCCCACAGCCAAGGTGAGGCTTTCATTCTCTTCAGACCCATTTCGAGGTTGGGCGCCCCGAGTGCATGTCGCCCGAGTTGGGCTCCAAGCCTCAGGGCATTTGCTAGCCGAAAGTCCTTCCAGAGCGGGGCTTAGGGTCGCCGCAACTTGTCCTGCTACAAAGCTCTCCAATCATTCGGCACCTCCTGCATTCGATACCCGGTATCCGCAGAAGGCACCCGTACACCACCACCATCACCGTGCCTGGCCAGGACCCTGCTCTCCGCCGTAGCACGGGGCATACGGCCTCCTGGCAGCGGCCAGGACGGTCTGTACACCATCGTTCGGCGGCGAGCGAGGGGGGGGAATGAGAAGGGGCGGTCTTTCTCAGAAGGTTCGGAAGTCCCCAGCCTTCTGAGACGTTTCCTGAGCCTTCCCCGAAGACACAAAAACCTTCCAGAAGGCGCGGGAGCTTCTGAGAAGTCCCGCCGCCTTCTGATAGGGCCTTCTCCTCCTCATCTCCCCCCCTCGCTTGCCGCCAATGTACACCATCGTAGTGCCCAGTATGGTCCTGGCAAGGCTTGGTGCTCGTGGTGTGTAAGCGCATGCCTTGGCATCGCCAGGATGTGTGCACCGTCTCTCGACGAGGACCCTCGAGGCGCATCTCTTGATCCTCTCGCGGAACAAAAGCGCACGACACCGGGAACATGCACGGGAAATGGACGTCCGAGCGATTCGGGCGGGTGGCAATGGGGGGTGACCAAAATAGGGGGGTGAAGATAAAAGGGCACTTTAAGGGGCCCTTTGGGGCCCCTTTTGGGCACCAGCTGGCTCCAAGAGGGGCCTCAAATGGCCACTTCAGGGCCTTTCTCTTCGCCCTACATGTGGGTCACCCCCTAGTACCACCCGCCCGAGCGATGGCGAGCTTCTGCGGCTGCCGGCGAGGCACCGCCAGCGCGTGTGGCGCGAGCCGGTCACCTGCCTGACGGACGCGCCCAACGCGTCCCCCGCCGCGCCCCCCGCTGCTGCTTGGCTCCGCGCCCGCGGGTTGTGTGCATTCAGGGCAGCAGGGCCGAGGTGGGGGCGTTCGGAGGATGAAAGCTTCTCCTCCCCCTCCTCCCTCCTCCTCCCTCCTCCTCCTCCTCCTCCTCCTCCTCCTCCTCCTCCTCCTCCTCCTCTCCTTCCTCCTCCTCCCTCCCTCTCCTCCTCCTCCCTCCTCCTCCTCCTCTCCTCCTCTCCTCCTCCTCCCTCCCCCTCCTCCTCCTCCTCTCCTTCCTCCTCCTCCTCCTCCTCCTCCTCCTCTCCTCTTCCTCCTCCTCCCCTCCTCCTCCTTTTCTCCTCCTCCTCCTCCTTCCTCCTTCCTCCTTCCTCCTTCTTCCTTCCCTCTCTTGTCCCTCCCTCTTCCCCTCCTTTTCTCCCTCTCTCCCCCCTCCTCCTCATCCGCCTCCTCCTCCTCCTTTTCCTTCTCCTTCTCCTTCTCCTTCTCCTTCTCCTCCTGGCACCTGTGCCACTGGGTCCCCTTCCCAGGTAAACAGGCCTATAGCAGCCCGATGATCACCGCGCTCGTGCCTCCCTGAGGGTCGTGAACAACCGCGATGTTCGGCAGGGGCGGGCGGAGGAGACACTCTTGCTCCTTGTCGCCCCCCACCAGTTCCTCCCACGGCCTGAGTCCCCCGCTCAGGCGTGCGTGGGGGCAGCTTTGTCTCGGGCGCCTGGCGCCTCGGAGGGGCAGAACGCGCGGCGTGCCAAGGTGCGTGCAGCCCGCTTTTTATGTGCGGCCCCTCGCTGCCTGGCGCGGGTGGCACGACCAGCAGTTGTGCAGCGCCAGCAGCAAGTGTCGGCGTGGTTGAGCTGTGCGAGGAGACCCTTAAGTAGTGACTACTGCCCCCCCCCACAAGGGTTTTTTGTTTTTGTTTTTCCTCCCAGGGGTGGCGAAGCACGGACGGCTTTCAGCCTCCCTTGTACGAGCGTTTCCTGAGCATTATCCTCTCTCCTCCCCCTCCCCCTCCCCCTCCCTCCTCCTCCTCCTCCTCCTCCTCCTCCTCCTCTTCCTCCTCCTCCTCCGCCTCATCCTTCGTTTCCTCCACCTCGTCCTGGACCTCTCCCGCCCTTCGATGACCTCCTCAGGGGCCTTCCGCTTCCCGGGGGCCCCCAGAGACTCCCGCGGGGAGGCCGACAAGGCGCGCACATTCCCAGGCGGCAGGGTGAGGCTGACGCTACAAAAACAGGCGATCGCGACTTGGGCGCCAGGCGGCGGGGCCCAGCTGCTTGCGATGTCCTCGTCCTCGTGCCTTCGTGCCCCGCTTTTCTTCCGCCCCTGTCCTCGTTTGGCGGTTTCTTGCAGCCTGCCTGTCCGTCGACGGTACTGCCATCCGTCGCGTTGCTGACCGACTGATGTCTGAATATTTTGGCGGTTGGGTGTCGCGCGATCCATTATGTCACCACTTGTGAGCACGGTTTGTTTTACGTATGTCGTGTCTTTGCGAGCGCGGCCATCTTTTGTTGCTCATTCATTGTGGGTGATTGAAGCGCGATTTGAAGTAGACTTGCGTGATATATGTGTTGCAATCGTATGGTCGATGCTGATGTTGGTCGTTGTATGTTCGTTGTAGTTTTCGGCCCGCGGGAGGTTTCCCTCGGTCGCGCTGGCGTCATCCGAGGGATCGGGGCCCAAACGCTCTCCTGGAGGACGAGGGATGAAACGGTAGGATCGGAGGAGGAGGAAGAGGAGGAGGAGGAGACGCGAACAGGAACATGGTGATATGAGGCATGTGCGTTAGGGGGTCCAAGGAGACCAACCAACCGACACTCGCGGCGAAAACTTGTTTGCTTTATCCACGGGGAGGGGGACTTGTTTAACAGTCATGACAAATCCGTGGGGAATCTGCCAGAACAGGGGTGGGGGGCAAACGACAACGGATTGTTTGTTGTTAGTAGGGCTCGGCGACAGATTTTTGAGTCTTCAGCGCAGTTTATCCACGATGCTCTAATTTAACAACGCATTCCCTCCCGCCTCCGCCCGGATGCCAATTACGCGACCGAGAAACACAACATTACATGTCTTATGGAACGTCACGTGTTCGAACCAGACACGCCAGATAGGGCAACCAACCAGACCAACCAGATGTGTAAGACCATCGAAACACGCTCAATGATCATTCCAACACGTGCGAAGTAGCCAGGCCAACCAACCAGATCAACGAGACCAACCGGGCCAGCCGGTCCAGCCAACAACAACAAACTACCGTTCCAAGACGCACGAGGCAGCTTGGTCACCCAACCAGCTCCACCAGACCGACCCGCCCACACAACAGACAGTCGAAGATCGTTCAAAGACGCCCACGGTGGCCTCTACAACCATTACTACCACTACTACTACTACTACTACTACCACTGCTCCTACGACTACTACTATTACTACTACTACTACCACTACTACTACTACTACTACTACTCTTACTACTACTACTACCACTACTACTACTACTGCTACTACTACTACTACTACTACTACTACTACGGCTACTAATGCAACTGCCGCTACCACTACTACTCTTACTACTACTACTACTACTACTACTACTACTACTACTACTAGTACTACTACTACTACGATTACTTTTACTACTACTACTACGGCGGCTAGTCTTCGTGCGATTACGAGACTTACTACTAACGCTATTATCACTCTGTCAGCATTACTACTACCTCTAGTACCACTATACTACGATTACTACTACGACTACTACGACTACTACTAACGACACTACTACTACTACTACTACTACTACTACTACTACTACTACTACTACTACTACTACGAGTAGTCCTACTAGTACGACGAGCATTCGCACTACTACTTCTACTACTACTACTACTACTACGACTACTAAACCTTCTATTCTTAGTATTGCTCATATTATTACAACGACGATTACTACGTCTACGATTACTATTACTACTACTATTGCCACTACTACATTTTCTTTTACTACAACTGCTACTACTACCACTACTATTATTTCGGCGACGAGGGCTATTAATACGAGAGCTGCGATGCTCTTGCATGATGTATTTCCCTACTACGGCGATTGCTACTACGGTTCTTCCGACTACGATTACTACGGTATTTTTTTACTCTGACTACTACTCGTACCTCCACTACCACTACTCTACTACTACTACTACTACTGCTACTTCTTCTACGACTACTAGTGTCATTTCTACTACTGCTACCACTAGTCCTACTACTTTTGATATTTATACGAGCACTTTTTCTTACGACTGCTTCCGCTACTCCCACTACTACAACTACTGCTACTACTACTACTTCAATTACTACTACTACTACTACTACTACTACTACTACTACTACTACTACTACTACTACTACTACTAATACTACTAATACTACTAATACTACTGCTACGACGACTAGTCCTGCTACGCTATTACTATTACTCTTGCGGGTACCTTCTTAACCTTTACTACTACTACTACCACGTACTACTACTACTAATACGACTACCACTACTACTACCACCCTTATTGAATCGCTTCGCTCATTCCGCCGGCCCGTGATATGGCATCGCTGGTTTTTGTGTGTGTGTGTGTTCGTTGCCCATGTTGCGCTCTTGGGGGCGGGTGTCGTACGGACGCGTTGCGTGGGGAGTTTTGATGGTGAAGCAGTTCCCTGGGGGTCGTCTCTCGATGGGGCGAAATAGAGTCGTCGTCAAGATGCTTCTTTGGGGGGCCTCTTGGGGTCTGTTGAGAGGCCGTTCGGGGGCGCCTGGGAGACATGTTTGAAGCCTTCTGGGGCTTCTTTTGGGCCTCCTGGGAGTCTCCTGGGGCCTCTTGGCGACATCTTGGGGCCTCTTGGAGGCCTCTTGGGGCCTCTTTGGGACCTCCTGGGCGCCTTCTGGGACGGAGGGCTCCATTTTTGAGTTCTCGGTATCCCTCCTGAGTCCCTCTTGGGCCCGTCTTGGGGCCTCTTGGTCCGTCTTGGGCGGCACTTGGGCCGTCTTGAGGGCTCTCTTGGGTCGTTTCGGCGCCGTCTTGGGAGCTTCGTGGGCCGTCTTGGAGCGGTCTTGGGGGCCTCTTGGGCCGTCTTGGAGCGTCCGGAAGCCGAAAAAGCCAGAACACAAAAAACATAGAAAAAACCAATGAAAATCAACGATTTTGGCCTCTTGGGGCTCTCTTCGGAGGCCTCTTGGAAGGCTCTTGGGGCGTCTTGGAGGCCTCTTGGGCTGTCTTGGGGGCCTTTTGGGCCGTCTTGGGGTCATCTTCGGCGTCTTCGAGCGCTCTTTGGGCGTCTCGGGGGCCTCTTGGGCAGTCTTGGGGGCCTCTTGGGGCACTCTGAGCGCGCTCTGGGGAGCCTGAGAGGCCGCACCCAGAAGGAAAACCATCTCTGAGTAGACTTGGTCGGGCGGCGACCGGGCGTTGGTCGGGGTACTTTTCGCCGGGGGACCCCCAGGGGCCGCCCCGCGCGCGCGAACTAGAAATACTGTTAATACTGTTAACCAGTTACCGGAGATCTTAGCACGCCCTGGCCCGTTGGGCCGGCGAATTACTACGACGACGACGACGACAACGACTACTTCGAGTACTTGTGCTAGTAGTGCTACTATTATTTTTACTACTACTACTATTGCGGCGACTTCCACAACTACTACTACTATGAGTATCAGAGCTGCCATCAGTCGTCGTAGTAGTAGTAGTAGTAGTAGTAGTAGTCGTAGTAGTAGTAGTAGTAGCTGCAGTAGTGGTCGTACTACTACTACTACTACTACTACTACTACTACTACTACTACTACGACTACTACTACTACTACGACTACTACTACTACGACTACTACTACTGCTACTACTACTACTACCACTACTACTACTACTACTGCTACTGCTACTACTACTACTACTACTGCTGCTACTACTACTACTACTACTACGACTACTACTACTACTACTGCTACTGCTACTACTACTACTACTACTACTACTGC